AGTTGGAAGACCCCTGTCCTAGGTAATATCATCATCATGATGCATTGATGTTGTCACCTAGTTTGGTCATGAAATGTCTGGAGAGTACCAAAGACCATACAAACGCAACTCAACTTGCAAGGTCTCCCTTCCCTCAATGCACAGAAGACAGCAGGAGAGCCAATCAAGATGTTCACTAGATATTTTTGCCCTGCCCTACATGTTCTGTTTCTTCCCTTGAATTTCCAAACAGGAAGGAACTCTTTTTAAGTTCTTTTTCCTATACTCCCAAAAAAGTACACTGGGACAAGTACAGAGGGCTCTTCTTTCTTTTAACCGTCAGGTCTTCAGAAAACCCCGGGGCTGTAGGCTAGGCTGAGAAGTTAGGAAATCAACATATTTTGGAAGATGGCAGTGGCAAAACCCTTCCCTGCCTCTGTCTAGAAAAATCCATGGACATGCCTATAAAATTTCCAGAATCTGATCTTGACTTGGAGGAGGAATTTCAGCTTCTGGATGTTTTTCAACCCCCAAATTTAGCCATTCTTGTTGGAAAAATTAAACCCACCCAGCCTTCCTGTTGGGAAATAAAAACAAGACTTTCTTCCCCATCCCAGGTTCTCTAGAGAACAGAAAGGGAGGACAAAATAGGAAGCTAGAACAGCAGGACAGGAGAAAACACAGATCCTTGATTGTCACTTCAGATCTCATCAGATAACAGCATGCATCCATGGACAGTGGCTGCAAAAATTTTGCAGCGGTGATTACGAGGATGCTAAAATGGCTACTGGTTATTGCTCGAAGTTTTTCGGGCAATAATGAAAATGTTTTAAGATGCCCACCTCCTTTGGACCTGTGACAGCCAGCACAGCAGCAAATTACCGTATTAACACAAACAGTCTCGAGATGGCATCGTTCCGATAAGTGCAGCGTTTTATGGAATGCTCATGTGCTGGAAGGTTACCACTCCTTCGTATTTTTGTCTATCCTCAATCCTGGAGCCAACTTCTTCTACATTAAGCAGGGCTTCAATAGCATTTTCACCTCCCTTGCTTCAATGCAAGTTCCTTTCACGAGAAAGCTGAAACAATCTTAATAAAAATCATCATGCTCAAGTATATACTATCAGGCACGCCTCCCCATCATTAAACACGGAATCAAACCTCACTCTGCTATGCAATTTTTTTTTCCTTTTATGTGTGAAACAATTCATTGCAAACCTGCCCTTCGTTGCTCAAATTGCAAAGGTTTCTCCCCTCTCCTTCGACATAGCAAGCCAAGTATTATTTTATCCCCAGCTTATTTTCTCCTTCAACATAGCAAGCCAAGTATTATTTTATCCCCCGTTTATTTTAAAACCCGTTTGAAATTCACAGGGAGGGGGTTCTGCACACTCACATACATGCAAACACACATTTTATATTTGTCTTGCCCCTCTCTCATTTTTGCAAAAAAAACCAGACGCCTTTTTAAAATTTCCCCTCCCCTCTTTTTAAAATTTCCAGGCTTCAGCCCCGACCTTAAACATTTTTATAGGTAAGATAAATGTCCATTTGGCGAAGCTGGACCCTGGGACTCAAATGTCTCTGTACTGCATCTCAGAACAGCTTCCATATTGCATGTTGTGTCTGCCTTTCAGCCAGACTGGGGGGGAAAAAAACCAGGATTTTCCAGCCTCTTTTGAAATGGAAACACTGCCTTTGAATTGACTGAGAACTTCGCCTCGATGCTCAGGGTGATAAAAGTGCAAATCCTGGTCACTACAATTAATACAGCCCTGCATATATTATCCACGTGCATGGATTTGCACCAATCACTTTTATATTTGTTTTTTTTAAAAAAAAAAAAACAGAGGGGGGGGGGGGAAAAAAAAAAAAACGGAGGAGACCCAAAGTTTAAAGTGCTTTGGCGTTCACCTTTTGCAATTCACAGCCTCATAATAGAAAACGAGAGCAAGAGACCGAAAGGATTTTTATCAGAATGTCATTCAAATAAAAGGTTTAGCATTTACATCACAACAGCTAGCCGGGAGAGTCGAGCCTCCCCTGAAGGGAAAGAAATGCCAGGAATAAACATTGGAATAATAAAATAATAACATGTATATATATATATATGTAACGGAGGAAAAAGTAGAGGTTTTATTTTATTTTTTTTCCAAGGAACCTCAAAGCGGACAGTGGGATGGAGTCTTCAGAAAAGCTCTATTAACACATCGAAAATAAATGGAGCGTTAACGTCCCTGAAATGACACTCGGTTTCATTTTTTTTAAAAAAATCCATAAATGTCACAAATCAGAGGAATAACAAAGGTTGAGTGGCAGGCTCTAAATAAGACAGATGGAATGAGAAAATTTGTCCTTCTTGCATAAGGGAATAAATTAGTTGTGCCTTAAATTTATTTTAGTCTTCTGCTAACAGGTGATTTTGTTTTAAGAGGCAGGTGAGGATGGAAGCTAGTTTTTATGACGTGTTTTTTTTTAAAAAAAATTCTGGGCAGCCTTTGCAATGTAAACAAAGACGTTATATTTATGTGAAGCGAGTTTTTTTTTTTTTTTAAATGTTTAATTCTGTTCCGGATCTCTTCCAACGTGCGGCACTTTCTCTGCTGAATTGCTGCTGAATTTGTTAGTCCACAGCTGATTTCCTGTATTAGAAAGTCTTAGAGATTATGGTTAACTTGAAGAAACAGCTAAATTTTTTGATACTTATCCCAATATATAAAAAGCATAATGTGTTTAGGGCGGAGTTTCCTGAAGACTGTAGTTCAATAGTGCCCCCTGCTGTAAGTCTATATTAAAGGGGATATATATATATATAAATAAATAAATAAATAAATAAATGTTTGGGACTCGAGACAGGTATGAAAGGGAATAAGGAAGAGAGAACATGTCAGAAGTCTTAACGATAATAAGCAAGAAAAATTATTTAAGGGTTTTGGCGAAAACCAACCGGCTTTACGAAGGATGTTTCACTCCTGTCTTTTGCAACGGCTCCAATGAATGGCGGCTCACGCACACCAAGTCATGAAGTTGTTCGTTCAAGATTTAAATTAGAAGCAGCTTCTGTCAGCTTGATCATTAAAAAACGAGGCTTTCCCAGATCACTGATAAATATCACCTCGAGTCCCTCTGAAAGGCGATAGGCTCTGTTTCTAATTAAACCCACATGGCAACAACACCCCATTTGTAAAGAACGCGGCCCTTGAGAATTCCTTGGGCAGGAGAGATTTTTTCCATGTTCCTGACACACAGCAGAGATAAAGTAACAACCCGACAACTTTCCTTGGCCTTTTCCCAGCCCGCCGCAACTTACAAGACTGGAGAGAGGGAGAGACAGAGAGAGAGAGAGAGAGACAGAGAGAAACAGAGAGAGAGACAGAGAGAGAGAGAGACAGAGAGAGACAGAGAGAGAGAAACAGAGAGAGAGAGAGAAACACAGAGAGAGAAAGAAACACATACAGAGAGAGAGAGAAACAGAGAGACATACACACAGAGAGACAAAGTCAGAGAGAGAGAGAGACAGAGACAGAGAGAGACAGACACACACACACACACACACACACACACAGAGAGAGAGAGAGAGAGAGAGAGAGAGAGAGAGAGAGAGAGAGAATTAAATTTCTTAGCCACCCTCTCCACCAAAGGCCAAACCGTTTGAAAAAGGGTTTTCCAAACTTATGACAATTGCTTTCCTGACAAATTAGTTCTACGCAGCGCCCGTTGTTGTGCTTAAAGATCTTCAGGAAGGAGCAGAGAAGAAACGTTAACAATACAAAAATTGACAATCGCCCGAGGGAGAATTCTGGGTTCAGGTAGTCCTCAACTTACAACCATAATTGGGACAGGAATTTCGACCACTAAGTGATACAGTTGTTAAACGAGTCCTCCCGTCACCGGACTTGATTTTACAACTATTTTTACCATGGCCTTTAAGTGAATCACCACAATTTGGTAAGGGAATCCCGAGGCCATTCAATGAACCACGTGGTCATTGAGCGAATCTGACTTCCCCTATGGGATGTCGCTTGTGGGAAACTACCTGAGAAGATCACCAAGCGTGATCACCTGACCATAGGATGCTGCAACCAGTTGTAAGTGTGAACCAGTTGCAGAGTGCTCGAATTACGATCCCGTAAACTGCAGTTATAACTGTGGTGCAACCGTCATAATGCTGAGGACAGATCGTAAATCATTTTTTTCCGAGGCTGCCCTAACTTTGAAGAGCTATAAGTTGAGGTCTATCTAAATGCCTTCCGTTGACAGCAAGGGCGAATGCTGAGGTATCTTCTTGAGAAGATAAAAGAAAGAGGTCTCGAGGAGAGGTGCTTGCGATGTTCTCTTTGACAGTTACAAAGTCTGCTTAAAAGGTGTTCACCCCTGCAGCTATTATACAAACTGTGTACAAGGTTGGATAAGATGTTCTCTAAAGTCTCGTTCAACTGCCCAAAGAGGTAGAAGATGGCCTCCGACGAAATCAGATCTCTGGGGTAGCATATTTTCCATAGGGTCCATTCACTCTGGAGGCCATGGAAATATGGCAGAAGTCCTTCGAACACAGCAAGGCATCGAGATGTCCTCCCACGCCAAAGTCAAGGGCTTCCCTGATGAGTTTTCAAATCAGTTACATTCCCAATTCTTCAATACAGTACCAAAGGGACAGACTATTTTGTTATTATCAGAGTCAGAACTTGTTTTAAAAACAAAATATTGACATGGAGACTATCTGGTGGAAAGCAACATTCAACCTGTCTTTTGAGAGCCTGGGTTAGTGATTTTGAATCCCTCCAATGGTTCTTTCAAAGAACCTTCCATTGACTATTTTACTTCTTATTTTGGAGGGCAAAAAAAAAGGAAGAATTAGTTTTATGGGCCACTGAATTTGAGGGGTGAAACTTAGGCATGATTTGATGTGGCGATGTGGTTATAGGTTGCTCAGTGGTGTAAATTTAGTCATTTGGAAGCAACAGTAAATAGAAGTCCAGAATACAATCCTCAGAAGCTAAGACATTGATGAGAACATACCATGAGCTCCATTTGTCTCCAAAAGTCTTCCAGATTGGCCATTGGCTTGTCCCACCAGTCGGTGCATCTTCTGTACCGTTTCCCCTGGAACCAAAACTGTCGAAGCCATTCAAATTCCACCTGTAAAAAAAAAAAGATTGACTGTGGTTTATAACAGTCTCCTTTTTCAATTGACTTCCAGTCTGAACCCTGTTTAGATAATTCTCCAGATCTCTGAAATGTGCTTTACCAAAAGGCAACTGAACTTTCTCGGATGTTTTTTTTTTAATGTTTTGCTTCTCATCCAAGAAGTTTCTTTATAACTGATTGGTGACAGGCCAAAGTCACTCAGTTGGCTTTCATGGCCAAAGTGGGACTAGAACTCACTGTCTCCTGGTGATTGGCCCAAAGTCACGCAGTTGGCTTTCATAGCTAAGGTGGGACTAGAACTCACTGTCTCCTGGTGATTGGCCCAAAGTCACCCAGTTGGCTTTCATAGCTAAGGTGGGACTAGAACTCATAGTCTCCCACTTTTTAGCATGGTGCCTTAACCACTAGACCAAACTGGCTTTCTCTACCTTACAACAGGTTAAAAATTTCCAAGTCTGTTTGAAAACAACCCAGCTCAATATTTTGCGTTGCCAAGAGCACAGCTCAAACCCAATCACACAATGTTCAATATTTCATCAGCAAACATAATTCCTTTTCCTTTGTAAGTCTCAGTTCTGGATGTACTTTCTTTCTTCTAGATTTTTTTTTAAAGAAACTTCAAAATGGTTGTCAATTCTAGTCAACTGGAACTGCCTATTTATCTCTGCTACTGTCAACATGTTTATCACACCCAAAGACACTTGGATTCCATCTCAGCCTTCACCTGTGACCACAAAGAAATATGTTTTGTTTATCCTAACTCACATTGTGAGAGAAACTTGGCGATGAAACAACATTTCTCTTTCTGCAATTAACTTTTCACCTGGGAATGAATGAATGAATGAATGAAAATATATATTTGAAAAAAAAAAAATATATATATATATATATATATTCATTCACACCCCTGCTTCCTCCTCCTTTAGGCAAAACAGAAAGGATACTAACTAAAAGTCTGAAAGTGACTTTAAGTTGACAGTTGCTAAATACCTGTTTGATGAGTTGTAACAGCTTTCAATAGACTTCGTTTAAACAACAAAAGAAAGAGGCTGTAGATATAAAAATAACACAAAAAAACAAAAAAAAGTACAAGAAGGCAACCCTGTTTGTAAAATACACGTACAGGATTAGTGGACACCGGTTAACAGAAGTGGATGTTAGCCTTTCAAAGAAAGGTTACATAAATAGTTTAACTTATTATACAAAGTTAAGAATGCGTGGCCTTCTAGGACAGAGTTCAGCTGAAGTTTATTTAACCTTCGGTATTTAAAGGTGCTGTTTTACTTTTAGGAGAGACATATTTAAAGGCATTCCTTCTTTTTTCTAAGGGATGATAAGGGGGGGGGGGAGAGGAAAGGAGAGATGGTTCTTATAGTTTTTAGTATTTAAAGGGAGAGGGTGGGTTTCAAGACAGTTTTGGGTTCCTGCCCAAACAAGTCCCTGCAGTTTTCTTGGCAAGAATTCAGAACTGGTTGGCCATTGCTTCCTTCCTGGAGCTGAGAGAGAGGAAGTGGCACAACCTCACACAGCAGATTTCGCGCCTAAGGTAGAACTAGAACTCACAGTCTCCTGGTGTCTAGCCTGGTGCCTGAAGAACTACATCAAACTGGCTTTCTTTCTTGAATGCAAAGGAATGTTGTCCAGAAGCTGAGTACCATAGGAGCAAGAGACCACGAAGTTTAGACAATTGGTGTAAGAGAAAGTGGACGAAGACAGCTCCTCCCTAATAGTTGGAATAGAACGGAATAACAGAGTTGGAAGGGACCTTGGAGGTCTTCTAGTCCAACCCCCAGCTTAGGCAGGAAACCCTATACCATTTCAGACAAATGGTTATCCCAATTCTTCTTAAAAACTTCCAGTGTTGGAGCATTCACAACTTCTTGAGGCAAGTTGTTCTACTGGTTAATTGTCCTCAGTGTGAGGAAATTTCTCCTTAGTTCTAGGTTGCTTCTTTCCTTGATTAGTTTCCAGCATTAGTTTCCAGCAATTGCTTCTTGTCCTGCCTTCAGCTGCTTTGGAGAATAGCTTAATTCCCTCTTCTTTGTGGCAACCCCTCAAACATTGGAAGACCACTATCATGTTACCCCTGGCCCTTCTTTTCACTAGATTAGATATATATCCAATTCCAGCAACTGTTCTTCATATGTTTTAGCCTCCAGTCCCCTAATCCTCTTTGTTGCTCTTCTCCGCACTCTTTCTAGAGTCTCAAACTCTTTTTGACATCATGATGACCAAAACTAGATGCAGAATTCCAAACGGGGCCTTACCAAGGCCTTATAAAGTGGTATTAACACTTCACGTGATCTTGATTCTATCCCTCTGTTAATGCAGCCTAGAACTGTGTTGGCTTTTTTGGGCAGCTGCAGTACACGGCTGTCTCATGTTTAAATGATTGTACACTAGGACTCCAAGATCCCTCTCACAGTTACTATTATGGAGCGAGGTACCACATAGTACCTCTATGTTCTCAGAGTGTATGCTATTTTCCCCCCATTCTTTTTACTGTTGCAATGAAAAACCCACTGAAGGCACACACACACAAAAAAACACCAAAAATGGCACCCACCCAACGCACGATGCGTTGTCGAAGCAGTGCGGTGTACAGATTCCCCACTTTTTAAAGTCTTGATCTTCCACACTGCAGCACTGATTTTACCTCCGTGTCACATCAACCCCTCTCCGATTCGCCCTTTAAGCCATGATGAAAGGCGCACTTGGAAAGCGACAGTCAATAAGGCATGGGAGAAAGGCCATAGAGCTGTGGGCTGACATTTGGCGAGCCCAGGGGATGACGGTCCTCCGTTAATTATTTAAAGGCACTTGGCTTATTAAATGTCACCCGAGGGAGAGAACCATCCTTCCTCTCTTAGAGGCCCTGCAGGACCACTGGCTGAGCTGCCATTTCAGTGCAATGCGCCGGAAACACACATGAGCCTCGGACATCAATGGGTTTCCCAGCAGCAGCCTAACTCTTGGCTTGCAAAACACCTCAGCAGCATATGTTAATTTCAGGATCCAGGTGCAAGTCAACCCGAGTGAACAAGCAAGGTGTCCTATTTTACACACAGGATGCCAATAAGCTGGCGGCTGAACTTTGCTTCTAGGCTGTGGATGAGACAGCATCTTCAAGACGAGCACGGAGAACTTGATATGGTTCCCCAACTATGAGCCATGGTGGCGCAGTGGTTAGAGTGCAGTACTGCAGGCTACTTCTGCCGACTGCCGGCTGACTGCAATTTGGCAGTTTAAAATTCACCAGGCTCAAGGTTGACGCAGCCTTCCGTCCTTCCGAGGTGGGTAAAATGAGGACCCAGATTGTTGGGGGCAAGAGGCTGACTCTGTAAAACCACTTAGAGAGGGCTGTAAAAGCACTGTGAAGCGGTGTATAAGTCTAAGTGCTACTGCTAGCGCTAGGGTGAGCACAAAATCCCAGGATTTACCTCCGTACGGTCTGCCTAATAGTAGAGCCACCACATCTGGTATGGGTGGGCAGAGCAGCTTAGTGGTGGACTCTCCAATAGCCTTAGATAGAGACATTTTGAATTGACTGGAACCCTTTTCCCCCCAAATCTGTTTTCTCCAATGAAAGCCTGAGGATGCTAATTACATTATTACCAACCATAAACACGTTATTGGTCTTGATTTCCCTGGGGGGGAAAAAGGAACCAAAAATACACCTAGAATTAACCAAAACAAAAAAGTCATTCAATCTTTCCCTTAGAACTAGATGCGTCCAGTTTCCTGTGGTTTTCTAATAGATATTTGATGACCCAACTAGGTAACATCATCAGTGCTAGAAGGGAGTAGGGTCTGGGAGGAGGAGGAGGAGGAGGAGGAGGTCGTCCTTGGTGCTCTTTGAGCCTGGTTGTTTCCTTGCAGACATTTCACAACCCAACTAGGGAATATCATCAGTGTTAGAAAGCAGTGGGGTTTGCAGAGTAGTGCAGAGGACCACAACTTCCTGGTTTTACAAGCAACCAGCAATACCAACTACAGCTTTCCCCAATCTAGCCGGCTCCTCTTGTCCTCAGTCAATACATTTAGGAAGGCACCAGATCAAGGAAGATCCAGAAACAGAACAGCAACTGGAAAGTCCTCTAGAGAGAGAGACACAGTTTTAGGCCATGGAGTCATAGACAAGCACACTTACCTGTCAGGAAATCAGTGACTGTACTTTTTTTTTCTTATTAACCAAGGGTTGAAATTCAAGGCTCTCTGGGTCACCAGACAGCCAAACTACCTCCATTATCCTACAGTAATTTGTACACTCTAAAAAAAAAACTTCTACATCCTGGCCTGACAATCTGTTCTCAGGATTCATCCTTTTTTGCCAAGAATCCAGTCCTACTTAACGTTTCCCAGTCAACTAAAGCCAGGTGGGCAGCTGATGATGATTTATACTGCCTCTTTGATGAAACTAGGCTTAGAGATCAAAGCCTCAAGAGCAGCTTCCTCAATTCTGTGCCATCCAGATGTGTGGGGATATAACTTCCAGAATACTCAAGGGTTTGGGGGTACTGCGGGGTGTCACCCTAAGGCAGCTGGAGCTCTGAAGCTGGAGGAGATCACTCAAGACTTTTCCTTTCCTTTCCCTTCCCTTCCCTTCTTTCCCTTTCCCTCCTCCCCCTTTCCTCCCCTCCTTTTCCTTTCCTTTCTTTCCTCTCCCCTCCTCCTCTCCCCTTTCTCTTTCCTCCCCTCTTCCTTTCCTTTCCCTTCCCCTCTTCTTCTCCCCTTCCCTTCCCTCCTCTCCCCTCTCCTTTCTTTCCTCTTCCCTTTCCCTTTCCCCCCTTTCCTCTCCTCCTTTTCCTTTCCTTTCTTTCCTCTCCTCTTCCTTTCCTTTCCCTTCCCTTCTTTCTTCCTTTCCCTTCCCCTCTTCTCCCCTTCCCTCCCCTTCCCTCTCCTCCCCTTTTCCTTTCTTTCCCCCCCCTTTCCTCTCCTCCTTTCCCTTTCCCTTCTCTTCTTTCCTTTCCTTTCCCTTTCCTTCCCCCTTTCCTTTCCTCTCCTCCTCTTTTCCTTTCTTTCCTCTCCCCCTCCTCCTCTTCCCTTTCTCTTTCCTCCCCCTTTCCTCTCCTCCTTTTCCTTTCCTTTCTCTTTCCCTTTTCCCCTTTCCATTCCCCCCACTTTCCCCTCTCCTCTCCTCTTTCTGTATTTTGGGGTCACAAGAAAAAGAAGCAAGAAAAGAAGATACCCGTGAAATGGTTATGTAGTTATGTTAGGAATATTATTTAAAAACTTCTGTTCTACTGACAGATGTACTATAATTAATCTGTTCACCTATAGCACCTAAAGGCCTTGCCATTTTTGATGCTAAATGCTTCCGAGGAGACCTAAAACAAGGTCAATGATCTCATACAGTGTAAAAACAGAAAGAAGGAAAAATTCCCTTTACTTTCGAACATCTGCAACATCGCCGCCCCTTCTGTCTTCTCACCTCACTGTGAGTTTTTTCCACTCGTGTTATATCTCCAACCTCCATTGATTTCAAGGACGGGCCCTTCAAATCAGCATCGGTGTTCAAATTCTCCAGCGCTGCCTTGCATTTGTCCAGAATGTAAAGCAGGGTCCCCGTTGAACACTGTTGGAATTTACAAATAAAAAGGAAGAAAGTTTGTGTGAAAAAAAGACTGGGAATTTACTGCATAGGAAGCCAAAAAAAACAAAACAAATAAATCCTATTGTAATTTAGTAGTTCAGCAGTTTAACTGAGATCTGCAAACCATCATTTACAACTGAGAAAACATCTGTTAAATGAATCAAGTGTAAATTAACTCAACCTCAGTACAAGTCTTATTCAGGGATTTAGAGAGTATTTGAACTATTGGTTCTCCTAATGTCAAAGGCAAAGAATCAGGGCCATACGTTAAGTTGCAGATTTATTGCTCAAACCGATGCACAAATTACTCGGCTAAAGTTCAATACTAAATTGGCACCGGATAAGGGTCAGCAGAATTCAAGAAGGGTTGGACTTGGACCATTTGTGGGAATGTAATGATTCTAGGCTAGTGACTCATTTAACTCCATCTCCCTTCTAGCACGGCTCTGCTTGCTCTTCTATACCTACTAGATTTGTCTGTTTGTATGTGTGTGTGTCTTCTTCGTTCAGAGTTTTGCAGTGTAAATTCAGCGCCAGAAAAGTAAACACAGATGGCTGAGGCTTCATTTAATGTCTTTATAAACATATTAAGTTAATTTTACAATATCAGTTGTAGATTTCTTCAACGTGGAGCAAACTCAAACAGAAGCAGACATGTTACAAGTCCAGAGCAGAACAGCAACTCAGGAGCTCAGAAACAGACATCAGTTTCACTTTAGTTCAGCAGGCAAGCAGAGGACAGAAGCAGTTTCATTTTCAAGAGACAGACTCGGAGCTTAATATGGAGCCAGGCCTAGGCTGCTTCTAGTTTTAGTGTTGAAATAGTCCTCATTGTCTGACTTAGTTGCTATGCCTATTCATTGGCTGACCTTGTTACCATGCTCTATTTCAGTTCATGAATATATTCTGACATTCTTGAACAATGCCCTTGAATTGTGTTTCACAGAAACACAACTCAAGGGCATTTGTTTAAGAAGTTCCTCAATCCAAAATGTCAAAGGACAATCAAGACCACTGTATGTACTCAAAATGGACGGTGAAAATGACAATAAAAGTAATCTTATCTTTTATCTTACCTACTTTTCGGGGACTATCTAGTTACTGTGCCAAAATTTCCAGCCCTAGATTGCCATTCCCACAACATTTTGTTACTCACTTCTGCCACTCTGTGTGTGGAGCTGAATCTTGACTGCCGGCCAGCCAACACACAATGTTGGTGAGTCATATTCAGATCATCTAGAAAAAGATAGTTAAAGCACAAATAAGTATTCGCCCAGGAAGCCATTTGGTGGAAACAAGAGAAGCCTTAACTCAGGGGTCTTCAAAGTTGGCAGCTTTAAGACTTGTGGACTTCAACTCCCAGAATTCCTCCTCCAGTCATGTTAGCTCAGGAATTCTGGGAGTTGAAGTCCACATGTCTTAAAGCTGCCAACTTTGAAGACCCTTGGAATAGATTGATAGATAGATAGATAGATAGATAGATAGATAGATAGATAGTAGATACTGTAGATTAGGGGTCTTCCAACTTGGCAACTTTAAGACTTGTGCACTTCAACTCCCAGAGTTCCTTCTCCAGTCATGTTAGCTCAGGAATTCTGGGAGTTGAAGTCCACAAGTCTTAAACTTGCCAAGTTTGAAGACCCTTGCCTTAATCCAAGAGAGAGGCTGTTTCTGGTAATACAGCTAGTCCTTGACATACAACAGTTCATTCAGTGGGCGTTCAAGTTACAACGGCACTGAAAAAAGTAACTTATGACCATTGTAGCATCTCCATGGTCACATGATCAAAATTCAGTCTCTTGACAACTGACTCATATTTATGATAGTTGCAGAGTTTTGGGGTCCCAAAAGTCAACGGGGAAGCCCGGTTCACTTAATGACCATGTGACTAATTTAACAACCGCAGTGATTCACTTACACCACTGAGGCAAGAAAGGTCGTAAAATGGGACAAAGCCCACTTCACCCATGTTTCACTTAGCAGCAAAAAAATTTGGCCTCTCTTCCTTGTGGCTGTAAGTCGAGTTCTGCATCGTTGCAAAACTATCCGTCATTATTTCAAAAGTCAATACACTCCTAAAAAGAGAAAATATTCTGGGAAAATGTTATTATGCATACTGTTACATGATACAAGTTACTATCATTACTATGCATAAGTAAACGTTAGAAGCTGAAAGGCTACTTATCATGTATGCTTAAATAGTAAAAAGTAAGAGATGATGGAGGGACGCGGAGGCTCAGAGGCTAAGACGCTGAGCTTGTCGATCAGAAAGGTCGGCAGTTCGGCGGTTCGAATCCCTAGCGCTGCGTAACGGAGTGAACTCCCGTTACTTGTCCCAGCTTCTTCCAACGTAAAAAAATGCAACTAGAAAAATAGGGACCCACTTTGGTGGGAAGGGAACAGCGTTCTGTGCGCCTTTGAAGGCGTTTAGTCCTGCCGGCCACATGACCACGGAGACGTCTACTGACAGAGCTGGCTCTTCGGCTTCGTAACGGAGGTGACCACTCCTCCCTAGAGTCAGAAATGACTGGCACGTATGTGTGAGGGGAACCTCTACCTTTATGAGATGATGGATAGATACATAATACTTTTTAATATGGGAATTGTTGTATTAGGGGTTAGAAACTGGGAAAACAGCACTATATATGCTTCTACAAAATAGAATACATTATAACTACAATGGACTGTATGTGTAAATCTTAAACATTGAAAAATTATTGCTAAGTATACCTAAATAATATTATTATTGTTACTAGTACTTTGTATAAAGCAAATTGACCTAGACATTGTAGTGTTCACTAAGCACTTATATATGTTGAAGGAAAAAAACCATAAATAAAATTACGAGAGAGAGAGAGAGATTGAGAAATTCAGAATATTCTACAGTTGCCAGAAGGGGAACATTTAAGAAGAGAGAGCCATGGAGGAGAGAAAACCCTTGTGTAATTAATCAGCAGAAAAACGAACAAGTCAAGTTGTAAGCTTACCAAACTCACAAGATCAAAGCTGCAGTGGCAATAAATACATTTCGGGGGGCTCAGGACGGTTGTGGGGGGGGGGGGGAATAGACACAGACAGCACGCAGCTCAAAAGTGGGGTCAGGTTTCGAATGCAAAACCGCTGGCAGGCATCTGTACACTAAAGTGTTCCCAGTGAACGCTGTAATTTTCTAACCACACGTCATTTCTACTCAAGGGTGCTCCTCATTTCTGGTGAAATGGGAAGACAAGCTTTGGATGGGCCTTGAAGTCTAACGCGCACGGCCCTCTGATTATGTTTACTCCGTCCTGTTCTCCACCAAAGAGAGGCCAGTCGAATTTATCCCTGGAGCCGCGTTTAAACCTCTAACCTTCGGGCAAGGTTCAATCTATCAGAAACAGCTGGGCTTTTCAACGTGTGTATTTTCACTTTAGGAAGGCATGGAAGCAAAAAAAATTTGCAACCGCTGGGAAGGAAAAAAAGAATCGGCTCGCAAAATCCAGCTCTGGGTCTATTTCTTGGTGGTGGAGCAGAAGGGAAAGGGTTTCAAACACGGTCTAAGGACAACATGACTTCCCTGCGGACTGCTCCCTTTCCTTCTATTATCATCCAATCACTTGGCACGTGAGTTTGATTAGCACATTATGTGAAGCCGTATGATAATTCAATTGATTCGGCCTTATGCAACATCTAACACCTACTACCGGGATAAATTACATTGTATGATCTAGGCAGGGTTCTTCCTCAAGGGGCACAGCTATGATACAGAATGCGGATATCGTTCGCATGCAAAATGCACCGTAGACTTGTGCAATGCACTTTTTATTCCCCCTAGTGCAAGTCATTTTGGTTAGCATCATAATTTACGGCAAAAACACAGCTTGGAAAAACTTGGGCTGTTTTCGCACATCACTTGATTCATCAGTAGAAAAAACTCCACTCCTTCTAGAACTGGAGGAAATATCCTTTCAATACAGCTTTAAATATTGTGCAAACCCATCCTGTGATTAACCCCAGTGGCTTCGCTGAACCGTAAAACATAGCTGGCAAGTCATCACTAGGTCGATTCCTCCAAAACACTAAGCTAAACATCAATAAACCATTTACAGTGTAGCAATGAGATTTATCTCTGGAGGGTTGAAATATACAATATACCGACTTCTTGACCATAATTACAGTTGGGTTTTGTTTTTGTTTTTCATGAAAAGCCAAGGAATAACAGAATGACAGAGTTGGAAGGGACCTTGGAGGTCTTCTAGTCCAGTTCCCTGCTCCAGTAGGAAACCTTATAACATTTCAGACAAATGGTTGTCCAGTCTCTTGTTATAAACTTCCAATGTTGGAGCATTCACAACATCTGGGGGGAAATTATTTCACTGATTAATGGTTCTCAGTGTCAGGAAATTTCTCCTTAGGAGAGGGAGAGGGAGAGGGAGAGAGAGCGGGGGAGAGGGGGAGAGAGAGAGAGAGAGAGAGGGAGGGAGGGGGGGAGGGGGGGAGGGGGAGGGAGGGAGAGTGGGAGACAGAGAGAGGGAGAGAGAGAGGGAGAGAGAGGAAGGAGGGAGAGGGAGAGAGAGGAAGAGAGAGAGGGAGGGAGAGAGAGAGGGGGGAGAGAGAGGGACAGGGAGAGAGAGAGGGAGGGGGAGAGAGAGGGAGAGAGAGAGGGAGGGAAGGAGAGTGGGAGACAGAGAAAGAAAGGGAGAGAGAGTGGGAGAGAGAGGGAGGGAGAGAGAGAGGGAGGGAAGGAGAGTGGGAGAGA